TGTCAAAACGCATTCACCCCAAAACTTGATAGCTAGCCCTAAATGTAATTGTAGCGCTTGATTTCAGTAAGAACACCGCTAGAGAACTAAGGACCATTATCAGCCTGAATCCTCTGAACCTGCTTTTCAAACTGTGTATGGACCATATTGCAGAAATACAATAAATGTCGTGTTACATCCGACTTGTAACACAACATAAATACACAGACAGCTTGGCTAAAATCATCGACGATAGTTAAGAAATAATGTGCTCCAGTCATGGAAGTAGTTTTATAACTTCCCCAAATGTCAACATGAATGAGTTCGAAACAAGACTTAGTTTTAATACTGCTCAACTCAAAAGGATCACGAGTCTGCTTAGCCCTCAAACAAGACCGACAAGGCTCTTTATTATGAATAAAAGAGAATGAGTAGAATTCTCCAAAAGATATAGCTTCACCGCCGATGGATGCCCAAGACGAGAATGCCGCAACTCCATATTTTCCAGGGATATTCGAACAGAGTGTGCCATAGGGTGCTCCTGTGCGAACAGCCTCAAATAATATAATCTACCCACATGCTTACCCATCCCAATCAGTTTCTTGGATGGTAAGTCCTGGCTTACACAGAAATCACTCAAGAATATTAACGCAACCGTAAGATCCGCTGTAAGCCGACTAACCGATAGAAGATGGCATTAAAAATCCAGTACATATAGAACCCGACGCAATAATAACTGGTTAGAAAACTTAGTCATCCCAATACTACGAACGTGAACAGTTGTGCCATTTTGTATTCTAACTTGTAGAGAGGGACTCGAGTCCGTGTCAGAAGTCAAGAGAGATGCATGATTAACAATATGTTCGTTACATTCTGGATCAATAACCCATGAAGCTGAATCAACAGAAAAGTTAACTGCCATGTTCGAAGAAGGATCGCTGGAAGGCGGCGATAGCTGCTGCAAAACACCACTCAATAGAAGCTTTAGCTACGCGAATTGTCACGCTGTTAAGCCGTGTAAAGGGCTCTCGACGCCATCCACTAGTGCTGCCTGCGACGGGGTCCGATTGCTAGGGTCAGAACATCGCTGGGACTGAGAAGACTCACCCTTTTCATTGCTACGAGGTTGAAATCCAATAAGTCGGTAACTCGACTCCTATAGATGACCAGTACGACAACAATGAGTGCCCCGGGGTTTGCCATCAGTATCACGTTCCTTCTCGTGATCATGATTGGGTTGAATGGAAGCTCGATCATGTCGTCGCTCCCCCGTACCTGGAAGACAGCGGATTCTAGACGTGGACGACGAATAGTGGCAATTTGTCGCTGCTGTTCGTCTTTGGTGACAAGCCTGTATGCTTCTGCAAGAGTTGGAATCGGCTTCATGGCCAAAAATCTGGGACTTCACAGTCGAGAAAACATCTTCTAATCCCATCACGAAGTCAAACAAGTACTCCCCCTCTCGAACTTCACGTTGACGTTGTTTAATGTCACAAGTGCACCCGGAGCAAGTACACTCGAGTGAAGGTGTGAGAGATTGAATCTCATCCTAATAACCTCGCAGCTTCATGTAAGACTGTGAAACAGACTTCTTCTCCTATTGGAGACCAACGATCATCTGCTTCAGCTCGTACAACCTTGGTGCAGATCAACCCATATTTCTCGAGTAGTAGACACGACCCGGATGCTATTACGTACCTCTTTAGTCATCGATGTGTTATGTCATCCCTTTACCATTGCGTTGCAGCGCAACAAGGCTTCCCTCTCAGCAGGAGACTTCGCTACGGGTAAACTCCCATCCATGAAACACAATTTATTCTTCGCTATTAGGTAGCCGGTGATGTCCATCACCCATTATCCATAGTTAACGTCGATCAATAGCTCGCCGACTAATAGGTTGCTTGGACAATCAGATTGGTTAAGCTGCATATGTGACGGCAAAGCGGCTTGTGCTCTTGGCAGATCCCGCAATTGGCGTCTTTTGCGTCGTAGTCGACTCTTCCCCATCCGAAACCATCACTGAAAAACAGCTAAACCTTAGCAGAGCTCTGATACCATGTAAAATTCCAAAGGAATAGAAAGCGGAAAGGAAAACAGAGACGAGATTTACGTGATTTCCCCGCTCGATATGAACGGGACTAGTCCATAGAGAGCTGCAAGCTCTTGGAGTCTGTTTATTTATTGTTCTTACCCTCTGAGGGTTCTCGGCATACAACAACAACTATTTAACAAAAAACCTAACTCCTCTACGTAAACAACATGAAGAAAGAAAAATATCCAAAGTGATCCCTAAACTTAATACAACGAACAATAGGGACCACAACAATTCTTTTGGGATGGGATTCGCCACCGGCTCAGCCACCGAGGAGGCACGACTACGTCGGCATAAAGCAAATACGCAAACCTAGGATGCCTTTGTTGTCTCGGTAATCGTTGTTCTGCTGATATCGAAGCAAAGAAACCCTCGCCCCCATCCTCTCCCTCCAATGTCTATATTTTTTTTTTAAATAATGGTGTAACTTAGATATTGTTGCTATAAAATATTGGTTGTGATAAGAGATTTATAATCAATATTTTATGTTATAGAAAGATGATTAATTGGGCGTGATCAGAAATTCCTGTCAATATTTTTGGTCACTTAAAAATAATTATTGGGGTACTTTGGATAAAAGGTTGGTTTTGTGACCTAATTTAATGGTCGCTCAAAGCTAAACAAAGTAGTTAGCTTTAACCAATTACCTACGTTTTGTGACGACGACTTAAAGTAGACTTTAAGTCATTAGTTTTGTGATCACAACGAGATTAATTGTGCGACCATTCTAAAACTTTGTCATAAAATCATCATGTAGAGTGACCAAACCAAGAAATTTTTCTAATGCGGAAAACATGACCTAAGCTCTAAACAAATATTATCGGTCACTAGTTGCAACCGAAATATGTGATTTTGTAACCATTTTGTTTTGTGGGTTGTAGTCTTGTAAATTGGATTGTAGAGAATGTTGTCTTCCGCGGTTTTCATGATGTTTTACATGGGATTTGAACACATTAGGTTTGGGCATTCTATTTATTTGGACCGGGAAGAAGGAGAGAAGGGAGTAGACGTGGGACGGTGGGAGAGGACTCGTTGGAGTCCTTTGTCCATTTCTCCAAGTATCAGGCGGATGGATTAAAGAGAGGGAACATAGCGTTTGGAGGGAGGCAGCACAGCATATATATATTTATTTAGACGTAAATTGATTGGAGAAAAAAGAAAGAGGGAAGCTTTGGGGAATGCTTTTGGGGACCAGCAGTAGCGACGGCCGACGAGGGGAGCGGAGCGAAGTGAATAAACAGGGCACGAGCAAGCGTACCGCGATGGAGAAGCAGTTCAACCCTGCAATCATCAGCGATCTGGCGGAGTGAATTCTTTCTAATCTTTTCTCCCTCGATTTATACTATGATGATTATAGATATAATTGTCAATTTATTTTCGTCATAAACTAAATCTCAATTTTTAGGGGAAACACCATGTAGTTATTTCTACATTTGATTGATTGATTCATATTTCTTTTTGTTCTTTCTCTATTGCACGAAATTGCTTAATGCTTTGTATTGTATGGCCGTCAATACATTTATTTGTATTTAATTAGGTTATTAGCGGCAGTGAAACCCTAATAACTGAACCTATTTTGTGTGACTAACTTATCGAAGCGACGATGGATTAAATAAGGTGCTATGCGGTTTTAAATGAGTTATTGATCTTAAGGCCAAATAATTAAATCATTGAACTACGATAGTAGGATTTGATTTAATTGTTTAGTACGTAGTAATTTCCGACAGGGATAACTAGCAAATAGTGATATCTTGGCTGTAGAAAATTGAATTAAACTGATTGAAATAGTTAACTAATTGGGTGCGCCTATGATGACATGCATGTCACGGTGACTTGCACTTTTCGGTCGACCTCAGTTAGGATTAGGTCGATCTTATTGAGGATTAGGTCGACCTTAGTTAGGATTAGGTCGACCTCATTGAGGATTAGGTCGATCTAATCTGTTGTTTCAGTGTAAAAACAGTTTCATGGTGCCTACTTTGGAGATTCATATCATACAAGTGGCTAGATGGAAATTAAAGATTAATGACTTGTTTTGAAGCTCGAGTGTCCCTCTACATATTTAAGTGATTAAGAGCTCGATAATAAGTCCAGAAGACCATTTTTAAACCTGATCAAAAGGCTATGCCAAAACTGTGAAACTACCTGAAAATAGCTAAGTCTGGAAACGTGTTTGTGAAGCCTACTTTGGAGCTCAATTCGAGAAGCATGAATGCGAGATGAGTCCAGGGTACTCTACCACGTTAAATTAGGTATGTTTTTATACAAATTAAAGTCTGTGGATGAAAGATTGGATATCTTTAATGCTTCAAACAAAAGGGTCGAAGTTGCTACGAAGACTGTTTTTCTGGTCACCCATTGGTTACAACTAACTACTTTGTTTAGCTTTTAGCGACCACTACATTAGGTCACAAAACTAATCTTTTATCATAGGACCCCACTTATTATTTTAGTGACAAAATATAATGCTAAAATTCATCATCACGACCAATTAATCATCTTTCAATTTCCAAAAATATAGATTATACATATCTTATCACAACCAATATCTTATGGCAATAATATATCACCTTGGCGAAGGAGTGAGAGGATGGGGGCGAGGTTTTTCTTTTTGATATTTAGTAGAAAATATTGACTAATTTTTTTTATCACACCCAATTCATCATCGGCCTATAATCAAAAATATTTTAAGTGACGAAAAATATCGATGTGCTATACGTTCCTATCAAGAGGGAGTGGATGAGGTGCATAACCTTGTGATCAATAACCCATACATAAATCAATTAGAATAGAAGGCATTATATATGATTCTTCCCGTGGAAACACTGGATTGACATTGATAAAACAAAGACATGCATATCTTACTATTGTTCCATAATAATATAATAATATTATTATTCATGATATCGCGGATATAAAGGCTACATCGGTAAACTTTAGTTTCTTATTAGACCTAAGAATCGTCGATGAATGACGAGACATTAAGGTCAAACTTACTGAGGATATATTGAGCATGGTTGTGATTGATTGATATGCAAATATAAAGGTAGTTAGGGTTCAGAATTAATTTTTTTCTAGGCAGAGCTTGTTTCCAGGCTGCAGCTTGGCGCAGTTGACATCAGGGTTCATGCTCTCGAGGTCCTCAAGGCTCATGTTGTGGGCTGTGGCTATCTTATAGCAATCTTCGCCGTCTTCTACTACATAAGGGTCACTGCACTTCTTCTTGGTAGCTGCACCTGCTCGATATTTATTTCACACACACAGCCCAAACATCACCAAAGAAGAAATATATGTATTGTTCTATTCTATAGGCCAATATTAATTAGCTAGGTAAAAAAGTACATGCACAGTTAAGAGACAACCATGCATGGAGAAACAGAATACTTACTGCTGGTGATCAGAAGGCCGACCAGCAAAACGAACATCACGAACTTGAGGTTAGCCTTGCCCATCACCATGATGATAGATATATGCTTTCTCTGGATTGAATATCTGAATTACTCAAGTCTTTCTTCGTCTTTGTTAGATTGAGTGATGATCATGGAAATACCATCTATCTCCTATTTATACCACTGGCGCCCAGGAAACTACCAAAACTAGCAATTTGAGTCCAACCATTTTGGTATTGCATTTTTGTCATGTATTGTTTCAGTAAAACAATACCCAGTATTGTTATTGTTATTTGCGGTTGCGTAAAAGCAGAATACACTATGTGCCGGTGAAAAACAACATTCTTCACGGCAATAACATTATATAGATAGAGAACAAGACACTTTGACATTTTGTGTTTCCTTCATTTTAGCCATTTTCTTTTATTATTATGGCCGGAATCTTTAGCGGCCTTCAATGTGCAGAATGAACATTGAAGGTATCGCTGGGGGAAGAGTTTTTGAATGTCTGAAACTCTGATTGTTGCAACCAACTATGCAACTGATCTGTTTAAGTTGAGGACCTGCCGCTTGGTTCCTTGCCTTCATTATTTTGATACTTTCGGCACAAAAATCATTTTTTTTCTCCTTCCGTATAAATGAAATTTCTCATTGATATAAATGATAATGGGAGAGTTCACTAAAACAAGGGGTAAGATCAGGTGACTAGGGGTTCCCTTAGTCGCATGACTAAATCAATCTCCACCCTTGCACCTCATTAAAATCCAATGATCCATATTAATCCAATTTAATAAAGAATAATATAGTAATTGCATGATTATTTAATTTATTAATTTAGATAATAAACAAAGAAAAATCAATTTGACCGTTGCTGCCTTCGCGGTTCCCCCGGACGGAAAAAATTTCCGCCGACTTTGGTTTCTTTTCCGACGGCGACATTTGCGATTGGCGATTGCTGTCCATTTATTTTGGGGCAAAAGACATGGGAATGAATTGTCCCATGAGAGAGAGAGAGTGTTCCGACGACCGGAGGAAATTTCCCGGCGACAGTGTTGGATTTGTGATGTTTGTATAGATTCGGTTTGTATTGTTTGTCATTTTTAGTGACATTTTGTACGGTTAGTATGCTTTACTGTTTGTCGGTTTATTTTGTAATGTTTGTACGCTTTGTTATTTTGTAATGTTTGTCGGGTTTTTTTGTAATGTTTGTAAACTTTGTTATTTTTATGCACCATGTTTATCATTTTTGTCAACCATATTTGTAATGTTTTTTATGTCTAAAAAACAACCTGGTTGACTTTTGGATGGAACTCCTCTATATAGAGATGGAGCATCCAAAGTCAACCCAGGTGTTTTATTCCAGTTTGTATGAATTGTCGGTCTAGTTTGTCATTTTTGTCCACCATGTTCGTAATGTTTGTATGTCTAAAAAACAACCGGGTTGACTTTAAACGAAGCCCTCTATATAGGGATGAAGCCTCCAAAGTCAACCCAGGTGTTTTTCCCATGGCCGGCCAAGAGGGTGTGCCGGCCCGCCCTCCGGCACAGGGCCTCCACTTAGATGCGTTAGTTACCGATCGAATATGGCAGGTTGTTTTTTTAGTCTATGATTGATAGATTATGAATATGATGACGAATTTAATCGATAATTTTAGCTATAATAACAATTGAAAAGGATCTCACGGAGAATACGAAAATTAGGGTGATAATAGATAATTTTAATTTAAACAATAAAGAAAGATATTACATTTTGAATAATGGTATTATAATCATTTTAGTTTTATTATAGTTAAAAGTCAATTTTGATCATGTCTCAATTTTGGAATAGGGCCTACACGATCCATTAGATAGACCCGCACCCACCTCTCGATCAATTTATATTATTTTCATTTCTCCATTCAATTTTTGCTCTATATCCATTTTCTGTTCCCTCCAGATTTAGTTTTCTCCCTCCCTGCTAGGAGTGAGAATTTGGTCTTGGTTTCTTGGTCAAACAGGAAGCGAGATTGTTTATTCATTTTGAAATCATTTTCTGAACTTATGTACTTTATAATTATTTAATAAATTTTATTTTGAATAAATTTATTGAGAAAAAAATTAGGGGCCACATGTTAAATTTTCGAACAAGGCCTCCAAATATCATGGGACGGCTCTAGTTTTTCTAGTTTGCATGAATTTTTTGTCTAGTTTTTCATTCTTGTCCACCATGTTTGTAATGTTTGTATGTCTAAAAAACAACCGGGTTGACTTTGGGAAGGAGCTTCTCTATATAGGGATGGAGCCTCAAAAGTCAACCTGGTTGTTTTTTCTTTTTGTATGTTTTGTATTGTTTGTCGGCCTAGTTTGTATTTTTTGTAAAGTTCATATTTTTGTAATGTTTGTAAATCTGTTTGTATGCTTTGTCGCTCTAGTTTGTACTGTTCGTATGTTTGCATGGTTTGTACTGATTGTAAGTCCGGTTTGTATACTTCGTAATTTTCCATAATACCCAAACTACCCCTGTCATTAATTAAATAGCCCTTTCCACTTTTTAACCATCAGATTGATGTGTCCAGATCTAAGGGATGGGAGGGGCTTAGTCAAGTGACTAAGCACCCCCCTTAGTCACCGAATCCTCTCTCCTAAAACAAGAGCTATCCTGAGAACTTAGCTTACCAGACAAGGATGCAGAAGACTGAAGCCATAGAAGCTGCTTGACAGAAAAGAAGAGCTGGAGTCCAGAAGAAACGTTTCATGGTCTGTTTCTTCCATCTACACGAGAGAAGGACGAGATGGCAGTGTTTAGTCTTAATCTTATTAGATGGAATTTATGAAAGCCAAACGAAGAAGAGACACGTGGTTGTTTATTTACTGTCCATTTAAATTACAATTTAGTTTTTCGTTTTCCAGTTTTACTATAGAGTGAACTTTACTACACTTTAGCATATATAAATCAAATGGAGGACTTTCCTCGCCGGTTCCAATCCATACGCCTCATTTCTTCTTCCTCATAGCTAAACCCTAAGCTCCTGAAGCTTTTCTATATGGGATCAGAGCTGGAATAAGTTCTAGTGTTCTTCCGCAATGTCAAACACACCACCTCCTCGAACTCCAGGTGGGATTCCTCTCAACAGCGGCGCCATTCCTTTTGGCACCTTTGATGCTCAATCGGGAACCACTAGCGGCTCTAACAATTATAGTAACGGGCGTCCAGATCTGCTCTTCGGTAACCCTTTCTACATAAACCTGATAACGATGTAATTGCACATGTTTGCACCCCTAGTTCTTATCCGTTTGCGGGGCGTATTCGTGTATTTTTGGCCTATTTTACGCCGGGTTGTGCTACTTTGTCATATTTTAGGTCCCAGACGTCGAAGGAAAGGCTAAGCACGAGTTTCGGGGAATTTGGAAGTCATTCGATCGAGCTTGAGCCAAAGCACGGGCTCGCCTAAATCAAAGCACGGTCGTGTTCCTGGACCGTGTTTTTACTGCCGAGGCTTGATCCAAGATTGTCCTGCGCTGGCCCAATACACGGGCGGGACTAACTCAAAACACGGTCGTGTCCAACTTTAGGCACAATCGTGTTTTACCCAAGATGTGGCCGTGTTTTTAACACGTGGCAAGGGCACGGGCGGCCAAAAGCAAAGCACGGCCGTGCCCTCGACCGTGTTTTGCCCAGGGTTCGCCTTTTAGGCAGATTTGAGCCAAAGGAGAAGGGGTTCCGAGTTTTAGAGAGACAGAGCGATACTTAGAGAGAGAAAGTGATGAAATAGAGTTCCCAAGTGCCCTAGCTTGATCTTCATCACCATTGGAGCCCGGCTTGAGCTTGGAGAAGATCCGATTGAGCGCCAGAAGCAGATTATCATCCTTCACAGTATGGATTCCGCATCTGAGCTAGATTTTCCATCTCTCTTTATGGAGTAGTTTTCTTATTCATCTGGGTATGGAGAACCCTAGAATTGTATGTTAGGTCTGATTGTATGAACCCAAGTACAGATTCTATGATTTGATTATATTCAATTGAGGTTTGAATGATTGAATGGCATGAATCCTGATCAAATTCCTGTTGTTTCTGCTTTAACCTAGAAAGAGAATATCTGCCTAGGTTGATAGAGCACCCTTAATTGAAGGTAGTGAATTGGCGACTTTAGTCGAGGAGCCGATTCACTATTCTGTACCGAATTTACTTCAGTGGTGGAGGTTTGGTTCGTTAGGGCCTAAATTTGTTTACTTCGGTGGAGGTTAGTCGCCCGATGTGGACTCAGATTGAGAGAGTCTGGAGACCTTTATTTGAGACTTCAGACTGCTTAAGAACCTCCCGCAGTATAACTATCATTAAAACTGAACTTGGTAAATTACAATCCGGCTTAACTACAGTCTAGGGGGAACCATATCCGGGTGACCTATCTCGACTTGAAAACAACCGTTTAATTGCTTTGCTTGTTTGAACCTGAACTAAAGTTTCACTGCTAAATAATTAGAATTCGCTGAGTAGTCATCACATCTAGGACCCGGGTTGACATTAAAACCCAAACCCGCTATACTACGCTTTAGGAAGTGGTTGCACTTGGCCATTTTCTAGAGTGACAGTAGGAGTGAGTCAAGTTTTTGGCGCCATTGCCAGGGACGGCTAGGTTGTTGAAGAAACGTGAATTCTGTTAATTTAGCTTTTCTTTTCGCATTGTTTGCTTTGTCCCACTTGTGCCTTCACGGGTTTGCTGCTTGACTGTGTGCAGGTAGTGCATGACCCGTAGCCAGTCAGGAGGTTTACTTTCGTTGGATCCGGAGCTTGAACGCACCTGATGCCAACTCAGGAGACAACAGCGAGCTAGACTAGCTACGGAAGAGCGCATAGACGGCCACTTGAGCAGCGAGTCCGAGGACGAGTACGAGATGGAAGGAGATCACAATCCACACCCGGGGAATCCTCACCAGGTTCCCCCAGCGAATTAGATCTTGGGGAACAACCCCATACCCTAGGCAGCTGGGGTTCATCATCATCCACCGCCTCCAGGTCCCACCTTGGAGTACTACTACACTCCATGGATTGCTGACATCCGCCCTGTCATCCTCTACCCGCCTATTCCAACGAATAACTTCGAGATCAAGCCATGCTGGATTCAACTCATTACATCCTCTATCCAGTTCCATGGCTTGAAGGATGAGGAGG